ACAATGAAATCTTGCCATTTGCAATGATGTGGTTGGGGCTAGAATATATTATGCTAAGTGAAATAAAGCAGAGAAAGACAATATCATATGTGGAATTTAAGAAACAAAACAGATGAACATATGGGAAGGGAGAAAAAAAGACAGAGAAGGAAACAAACCATAAGAAGCTTTTTTTTTTTAAAGATTTTATTTATTTATTTGACAGAGAGAGACAGCGAGAGAGGGAACACAAGCAGGGGGAGCGGGAAAGGGAGAAGCGGGCTTCCCGCTGAGCAGGGAGCCCAATGCAGGGCTCGATCTCAGGACCCTGAGATCATGACCTGAGCCAAAGGCAGACGCTTAATGACTGAGCCACCCAGGCACCCCACCATAAGAAACTCTTAATGATAGAGAACAAACTGAGGGTTGCTGGGAGGGAGGTTGGTGGGGGATGGGCTTGGGGGATGGGTATTAGGAGGGCATTTGTTATGATGAGCACTGGGTGTTTTATCTAAGTGATGAGTCACTAAACTCTACTCCTGAAACCAGTATTACACTATATGTTAACTAGAATTTAAATAAAAATTAAAAAAAAAAGAAAAATTTTTAAAACAGGGATATATTGTGTTTTCTTTAGAAGACTTATTGTCAATTTTTCTCAAATTGATGTATAGATTCAATGCAGTTCCAATCAAAATTCCAGCAAGGATCTTTTGTAGATATTTAAAAACTGATTCCAAAATTTATAATGAGAGGTAAAAAATAGACACCAAAATTTTGAAAAAAAAAAAAGCAAAGTTGGAAGACATATAATCTAACTTCAAGACCTAATATAAAGCTATACTAATTAAGGCAATGCAGTTTTTGCATCAAGACAGAAAAGTAGATCAATAGAACAGAATAGACAATCCAGAAATAGACCTACATATATGTGGATAACGGACTTTCAACAAAGATGTAGAAACAATTCAACAGAAAAAGTAATGTGTTTCTTTGTTTATTTGTTTTGTTCTTAAGATTTTATTTCTTTATTTGACAGAGAGAGAGAGAGCATGAGCAGGGGAAGCAGCAGAGGGAGAGGGAGAAGTAGGCTCCCCGCCAAGTGGGGGGAGCCCAATGTGGGGCTCGATCCCAGGACCTGAGCCGAAGGCAGCCGCTTAACCAACTGAGCCCCCCAGGTGCCCCGGAAAAAGTAATGTTTTAAAAAATGTTGTGCTGGAACAATTGTGTGTGTGTGTGTGTGTGTGTGTATTTACACAGTACTCTATATATATTTATATATTTACTATATATATTTACTATTTATATATATATATTTATACAAGTACTATCTCGGTATATTTATACAGACAGAGATGCTGTTCCATACCCAGTTAACAATTATATGAAACTTATTTTCCCCAAACAACACCCCCAATATAATATCTTTTTGATTCAAAAGCAGGACAATGTTGTGACTTCAGTTGTTTTTTCTTTTAAAGGAAATTTTGCTTTTATTTATTTTTAAGATTTATTTATTTATGAGAGCATGCACCGTGCGCACACCCACACCCACCCACACCCACACACATGAGCTGGAAGAGGGGGCGAGGGGGAGGGAGAGGAAGAGGGAAAGAATCCAGCAGACTCTGCACTGAGCACGGAGCCCAGTGTAGGGCTTGATCTCACCACCCATGAGATCATGCATGACCTGAGCTGAAAGCAAGAGTGCAGCACTCAACTGACTGAGCCACCCAGCGGCCCCTTAAAGCAAATTTTGCTTTTAAAGATTAGGGCGTCTATAGAATAACATATCAAATGAATAAAATTTCAAAGGAGACATTCTTCAGGGTAAGTAGAGAAGAATGTACTGGGGTTTTAATAACAGTTATTGTGGAGAGCTATATGCAACACATATTGGTTTAAACAGCTTCACTCTTTGGATGAATATAAATCCTGAATTTGAAATGAACAAGCACCGTATTTACTGTTTATTCCTCTCCATTATTTTGCCTTATTTTTTGACAAGACAACATCTTTCTCCACACAATTTTCTTACTTCCTCCACCCAACATTCTTGAATCTAGAAATGCTTTAAAATCTGGTTCCCAAATGAAATCTGAATTTTTACAGACTCAGCATTCCAAGTTTAATACTGTTTGTTCTTTTGTGATTATCTAGAGAGGATTATTATTTGGTCCTCTTTGGGACTTTTGCAAAATACAGACCTCTAACAGTGATCATACATGTTCAGGATAGTCTGCATGGAAGGACACAGAATTTAAATATATAACAGAGGTGCATCTCAAAGAGTTTTGCTATATTCCTTTTTACACACATACATAAAAACAGATAAAAACAGACAATGAAAGGTGGGTGCTCCTCTCAGTTATTACTGCTATTGAAATAAATCTAATTTATCTGACTCCTATAGAAATGAAAACTAAAAGACATTTTTAAAAAACAGAGTTGTATTAGATATATAGGTCTGATTTATTTACCAAGTGGTTAAACAATCTTAATACTATTTCCCTGTGAAATGTTCAGATACAATCCAATTACATTTAATGTTATCACTAGCCCTTGAAATTCTGATTAGCCAAGGACCTTCAGGTGTCAATAGCTCCAAAAGTTAATTATATTCCAACTTATTTAATTTTATAGATTCTTCCCGTTTCCCCAAATAATCAACTCTTCAGTCAGCTGAAATAGTACGTAAAAAGCACTTAGCACAGGATTAGGTCTTTAGTAAGTGCTCAGTATTAGGTATTATCATTATCAAGCAAATATCTCTGGGGAATGGAAGAACACACTAGGCAAGTAAATAAGATACTTATCTGATACTTCAAAATGATCACCTTAAGCCTATTTACCGAAACCTCTCAGTATAAGATTACCAAAAGACACTGACAAAATAAGCCAAGAATGAAAAATGTTACTATTTCTTTCTTAGTAAAGTTGCTACCGTAACTTTCTGCTAATATTTCAACATTTTTACAAACAATGTAAGGGAGTTCTGGCTCATTTACACCATTTTTTACCTCTTTCTCTCCTGAAGTTTGAATTTGTTACCTTGAAAAACAATCACTAAAAGGTTTGGAATCTTAAACGCAGAAATATTCATCAATGTTCTATTATTATTGAAATATGACTGGACCCAAAAGAAAGAGTACATTTGCTGAAAAGTAAGAAGGTACTTAGCCTCCAATGAATATAATGGTTGTAGATATCCTGCCAGGTGGAACAAACGTATATAACCTGCTAATCGAAACAATAAAGACAGAACTACCATTATGCGGGACATGATCAATTACATTCACAAGTGCTTGGAAAAAGCAAAGTATTTTTTCTGAAAGAGAAAAAATAGCAATAGCAAAACCAGAAAAAAATCTGATTATTCTGTAGGCTGAAGTTAACTGATACAGCTGGGCAAAGTAAAAGTGGGCTTCCAAACTTTCAGAAACCTCCCATCTGTGTCAATGTCTAATTGTATTCTCACATTATGACATCAACACAAACTCTCTGGGTGCCACCGACTTGTTAAACAATTTAAAAAACTGGCTGTCATCCTGTACTTGTGAAAATGCACTTAAAAATCTGTTTCAGTGGCCAACTAATGCACATATTTATCATTTATCTAGATGCTATCATTTCTCTTCTGGATTGATTTAGATTATGAAAGCAGAGTACCAAGTACTTAATTTTCATTCCCCAAAGAAAAGCTTTGTAGTCTTTTCTCCAAATCAATAAAGTAATTACATTTAAGGTTAGTTCCTGAAAAAGTTGGTCTAAGTGTGATTTACTTGGTTAAAAATATGAGAACCATGTGACACAGCTTTTCTTTTTTGCCTTAATTACTAGAAAGCTTTGAATTTAATTCAGGGCCCAAATATAAGGATGAGCTTGTCTGAAATACCAGAAGTAACTACTTCTTTAATTTCCCCTAGGTGGTCTTATCAGATTTTTACTTATATTCAAATTGCACTCACCTCAAATCCTTATAAAACAATTCAGAAAATATATGCTAAAGAAGTCCATATATATATATATATATATATATCAGGATCATTTGTTGAGCAGTAAAGAAACATGTTCATCAGAGTTTTAATTTGTGGAATAATTTTCATAAATATTACATACACAAAATTTAAGAATAACCAGTCTTCACACGTAGTAGTTAATTCTATTTTAAAAATTCATGTGTCTGCCATTTGTTCTTTAAGTACTACATCATCAATTACTTTTTCAGTAGTAAACTAACAACTAATTAAAATAGTCATGTTCAGTCACAGAACTGAACATTTCTACTGAGGGTTTACCTGTGCTATTCCTAATCTGCTAAAACCTCTGCCCCAGTGACTGCTCCAGTGATGGAAGGCCCATGGTAACATGAACTAGGAAATAACACAAATCATGACTGTCTTCATACTGGGGCAGGCTGACATCCTTGGTTTCTGGGAGATAAGACCTTCAGAAAAGGTGAGGCTGGATGAGCCTGCAGTATACTCCCAGCCCAATTTCCATGGGATTTGTCTACTAACCAGGACATTCCAGGAATAGCATCCACTATATCTTGAATGTCCCAATCAGCCCAGGACCAGAAATGTATCCAGATCATTGAAGCTAGTCCCACACACAGCAGGGACTAAGAATTTGGTACACCTGAACCCATCACTACCAACAACCCACTGCTGCACATTTCATTAACCTGCAATAACAAAAACCCTGCAATTTTATGGGAATAAATATTTTGGACTTCATTTACTCATGGTAGGGTTTTGCTCCATTTGCCAAAAGCTGATTAAAAATTAAGTAAAAGTCATTAGGGTTTTTGGTTGTTTACTACAGTCTCCAATATGCCATCATTCTAACATTACTAGGAGAAGGAAGTGATTATTCATATTTAATTTAGCTAATTAATGATTTAAGTAAAAATTTTTCAATACTATAAAAGTTTTCTAGCTATAATTGTTAAAAAGATGCATGGATAAATAAATCAACTGATTAATAGAGATCACTTGTGAGAAAAGTATTTTCCTTACATTATGATGATCCCGTTATCAATGGAAAATGAGTCGGAAGGTAACCCAGCAATATTCCAGGTTCGAATTGTCACAGCTTCTCCCAGGATACCCATAAGAGAATAATCATCAGAGCAGGGAATGTCTTTGCTTTTGCACAAATTTGTCCACTCCTTGATTTGGTTCTTTAAGACATACAGAGAGATACAAAAATGAAGCTGGAGATCACCAAATGAATACTTCATAAATTCCTCAATTACACTTTATTCCTTGAGTCAACAAACCATTGTTGAAACTGCACCTCAAAACCAATTTATCAGATTTTTTCAAATTATAATTTAGAAGGTCCACTATGCATTCAAATGAAAATGAATGATATCCAATGTTAATTTTAGATACACCACTTAATAGTGAAGTTGAAGTCAGAATTTTGCATCCGAAAAAAACAATTGCCGATTTTTATTCTAAAGGTGTACTTGACAAAGTAGCTGTAAACCATCATTATTCTATACATTTTCTTTAAATTACAAATATCTGGCAAGCCTTAATACAGTATTATGGAATAAAAGTAAATCTACTTTAAACTGGTAGGGGACACAGAAAAACAAGTTTTTCTGTTTCTTGCATGCCTGGTGGGGAAGGGACCATGGCAGGACTATCAGGCACCAAGGATCAGGACATATACTGGAGTTTGGGACATCCCACCCGGGGCACAGTGTGCTAGGCTGCTCGGAAATCAAAAAGGTACTTCCAGTCCAGGTTCACACTCAGGAAGTCAGAAGTCAAGGTCCAATTTGAGGCTACATATCAATAAGTTCAGAAACAGTGAAAGACATGACCAGAGGAAATAAAGGTGAGGAAGAGACATGGGGAGGAGACCCAGACACACAAGGTGTCAGTACCCGCCGACAGGCAGAGGAGAATGCTATGGGCACAGTGGGCACCACCATCTCTGCCTTGGGCTCCTGCTGAGCAGCCTCCACCAACATTCTCTTAGGTTTGCCATGAAAGGCCACAACGGGTGAGGGGCAGTTGATGACTTTCAGGACCTTGATCATTTATTTTGTAGAAGGTCCCACAGTTGCGTCTCTATGATGTTCCTCCATGATTCAAGTTATGCACCTTTGCAGGAATATCATAGAAATGATGTCGTGTTCATTGCATCCCTTCATGGTACGTGGTACGTACGGGATTTCCAATTCTTCATTTACCGATGACACTGATTTTTATCACTCGATTAAGCTGCTGCCTGCCGGGCTTCTATCTCATAATCGTAGGATCTTGGATATAATTAAAGCTTCTTTGGAAGATGGGACACAACATAAGACACTCAGATGAAAAGCAGAACTTCTTTTTTTTTTTTTAATATTTTATTTATTTATCTGACAGAGAGAGACACAGCGAGAGAGGGAACACAAGCAGGGGGAGTGGGAGAGGGAGAAGCAGGCTGTCTGCCGAGCAGGGAGCCTGATGCGGGGCTCGATGCAGGGCTCGATGCAGGGCTCGATGCGGGGCTCGATCCCAGGACCCCGGGACCACGACCTGAGCTGAAGGCAGCCGCTTAACTGAGCCACCCAGGTGCCCCGAAAAGCAGAACTTCTTGTTAGTTGTATTGCCCAATGAGAGAAAGCTGCCTCTCAGGGGGCTGCGCCCAGATACAGGGTAACAGCACAAGTAAAACCGTAACAGGTGGTTATATACGCAAGCAGAAGGCGGGAGGGGTAGCTCGGCTGCACAGGCTTCCCGGGGATGCGGTAGTGTGAGGAATTCCACAGGTGCTGCAGAGGAGGGCTGCCCCCCACCCCCACCCCCCGCCGGCGTTAGGTTGCTGAGGGCCTCCGTAAGTTGAGCGTCTATTATAACCCGGAGTATTAGAGCCTGAGAAGGGAAATGGTTGGGGTGAGGGCTGAGCAAACTACCCCAAAGAGGAATTCAGAGTTTTTAATCAGGATTCAACACTGAATGAAGGCAGCTCTTGTGAAATACTGTACTACAGCTTCGGCATTGCCTTGCCCCCTTTCCCTCTGTAATGAAGAGGCATTTTGTGGGGAGGTACTTGTAACTGTAAGGATCTAGCTTGGTCAGGCACTCGTTTTTAAAATGTATTAATTTATGTCATTATAGATTTATTTTCTATTTTTTCGTCTCTTTTTTTTTTTTTAAGATTTTATTTATTTTTTAGAGAGCGAGCGAGAGAGAAACAGAATGAGAGGGGAGAGGGTCAGAGGGAGAAGCAGGCTCCCCGCTGAGCCGGGAGCCCGTTGTGGGACCCGATCCCAGGACCCTGGGATCATGACCTGAGCCGAAGGCAGACGCTTAACCATCTGAGCCACCCAGGCGCCCTTTTCGTCTCTTTCTTAAAAATATAATGGACATATAACATGATAGTAGTCACAACATGATGATTCGCTCTTTGTATATATTGTGAACCCATCATAGTAAGTCTAGTTAACATCCATCACCATATTTACAAAAATGTTTTTCTTATGAAACCTTTTAAGATCTTAGTAACTTTCAAATATACAATACAGTATTATTAACTATAGTCATCATGCTATACATTACATCCCGGGACTTATTTTATACCTAGAAATCTGTACCTTTTGAACCCTTTCACGCATTTTGCTCACATCTTTTATTCAATTTCATCATATTTGTGGATTAGAAATTTAAGTGGCCCAATTATACGTCTAAAAGGGTACAGCAGCAGACAGTAACTGAAACGAACATGAGATGCTCTGAACAAGCATCTCTAAATACAAGCAAAGAGCCTTGGCTAGTAGTCAGCTGGTGCAATAGATGGTAGAAATGAAAAAGTGACCATTAGGAGTGTCACCTTGGTGAAAATATCCACCACCACCAACACAGTTCTGACTTTGACTGTTGGCAGGGAAATTGAGAAAGTTCAAATTAATTCAACTCCAGGGCTTACGTGTCCTCACAGCACTGTAGGATTCTGTTTCAGAGATTGGCATGGGCATGGCAATTAAAGTACCCTGGGCCCAGTTATGCTAGAAGAATTGGAGTTTTCTATGTCTTATTTATGAAGAGTGCCAGAAGTTCTACAAAGGGGTTGATGAATAATTAACAGCTACTCAGATTTAAGCTTGGAAGGAGGGGATCCAGCTATTTATCGAGGGCTCTTGGTATCCTGAGACTTTGATGCTCGAAAAGAACCAAGATCGTTGGAAGGCTTTTTTGTCTTAGTTGGGTTTCCCAGAAGACTCTGAGATGAAGATTTATTAAGGAAGGGATGCTAGGGGGAGCAGTGCAAGGACTGGGAAGAAGCCAACACAAGGTGAGGGATCGGCCAAAGTTCTACAGCGGGTGGCTTTGGTTTGATCCCACAGGGAGGATAAGTTAGTTCTTAGAGCTGTTCCAACCAGAGGGAAGGGAGCCCGACTCTCATGCTCCCACCTCTGTCAGTCATTCATCCAGGCACGCCCTAGTGGGAGATAAATCCCCAGGCAATTCCAGCTCTCCAAACACTGGGCAAAGTGGATTCTAAGAACCCAAGGGAAGTCTGCCAACAAAGAGCCACAGGTGCTGGTTTTAGACATGAAAGTGCAGGAAGCCAGGCAGGCATCTGGGCAGACACTGAACTCGCTGCTATAACCTTATGCTTACAACTGAATGGGAAAATTTTGATGGGGTGTAACCCGATAGCTGCCCTGACCCGAGAGAGGGGGCGGGTCAGAGGGGGACATAGAGAACACATTCACAGGAAGGAACAGCAACCTTAAAGACTCAAGAAAAGTAAAAGCCTAGGTAGCTATAGTGAAGCAAGGCAGGGGTAAAATTGCCTTCAAGCCTTCACAGAGATGAACTAGGATGGGATGACATGGCTGTTTGAATCAGGGGTGAGGACAGAGGATGTGAGTTCATAGGAGCTCGGAGTTTTGGCTGTATCTGTGTCTAGCTTGAGTGTCACTGTGCTTCTGCCAGGAAACTCCAAGGTCTCAGTTCTGGACCTCAGGGCTCTGGAAGTGGTTGTTTGTGCAGTCAGCAAGATCCAGGGCCTCGGAACACATGTGTCAGAGAGGGCAGGGTGGGGAGGCAAGGGACTTTCAGCATGGCTCTGGGATGCTAAGCAGGAGCCAGTACAGGTGCCCAAGGGTGTGTTGGGAACCAGCAGGGAAGGGTAAGGGTGGCCGCCGCTATCCCCTCCATTGTTCCAAGTTGATTTAGGAGAGTAGAAAGGGTGCTAAATGAGGATTCAAGGGACTACAAGTCTCAATCCTGCTGTGTCATTAACCAGCTATGTGGCTCTAAGCAATTCCCTTCCTCTTTATAAGCCTCAGTCTCTGAAACCATAGAGCAAACAAACCTATTACCAGATAGTTTCATGCTAAACATTAACTGTTTGAGCTACAAGATGTTAATGCCTTAGCAGCAAACAGTTATTCAAAGATACAAATGAACAAAGTGAGGAAGAATATGAAGGTCATGTACCAGGACCAGGGCAACCAGATCCCAAAGAGACAGAAAGACCATATATATGAAGATTTTAAATTGGTTTGGTTGAAAATAAACAAACAAACTAAAACCGTGGCCTCCAAGAATCAACCCTACTTAACAGAAAGCTCCCAAATTAAGTAAGGCTCAGCTGAGACCAGGTAAAAGCAAATGTTATGTAAAAAAAGAAAAACAAAAAGAAAAACAAAAAATGAGTTATCATTTATTCTTTTTCTACTTGCTTGACACCAGAAGCTATTGCTAAATGTTTTAAAATTTCTCTCTTCTCCTTATTCTCATTACCCTCCTTTTCTTTTTCTTTCAGTACTTTTAATTTTTCTAAGTCTCTTCTGCTTTGACAGGGCCATGTTCTGGGTCGGATTCCAGTTCAATTTTTCAAAAGAGAGCTGAACAATATGGGGTCTCATTCAGGAATGGACTGAAAGGAGGGAAGGAAAAAGCAGGAAGAAGAAATAGAAATGGGAACTGGGTCACAAAGAATGAGGCAGAATCCATCAAAGGGGTGGTAATTCGAAGCAGGACACTTGGCATTTGTTTTCTAAGAAAAGAAGCCACTTACAGATTCAGTTCTAGGCCAGCTTGCCTTTTCCTCCCCTGAAGTTTTAGTGTCCGAAGTGATTTTTGAAATGATTCATTATTGAGACTCATAGTGTAGTTGATTACACACACAAACACACACACCAAAAAAAAGATGTAAAAAAAAAAAAATCCTGATATCTTTATACTTGTTTAGGAACTGAAATTCTGTCATTAAGGGCCTACCATTTCATGTTACCTTTTAAAGTTAGTGTTTTTGTTTCTAAAACAATTTGATTTTAGAAGAATATTTGATATGGCATCTTATGGCTATCAAGCCAATTTACAGAATAACTAAAATACACAACTAGATAGAAATCACTTGGAAACATTTGTTCTTCATACTTACCAAAAAAACAAAAAGCAAGCCAACAAAATCCTCTAAGATTAGTCAGTACTGGCTAAAATGGGAGGGTCAGGATGAGACCTTAGAAATCGACTAGTATTCTTTACCTGTCGATAGCTCGATGTAAAGGCACCCAGGTAAGCAACAACTCCTGAGGAAATGAGGATGTCACCTGTCAGGTTGATGTACAACTGCCCCAACTCCAAAGCTGTAAGGCTCCAGCGTGTTTTCTCACCCCCAAGGCCTCCAATCAGCTGCTCGGCTCTTTCTAGCTTTTTGCTGCACAAGTCAACCTCAAAAATAAAAGTCAGCTCTTATCAACATCCACAGGTAGAAAATAAGTGAAAATTTCTGCAAGATTTTGGCCTCTGAGATAAGTTCTTTTTTTAATTACGAACTTTCATCTGGAATTTTTTTTAACTCTCTAAAAAAATGTGAGCTATCTCACTATGAAGACTGGCAAGTCCATGACAATTGAGAATTGTGTTCATAATAAAGTGTGTGCAGTAAGTATGTATAATGAAGTATACACAATTTATGATATTTTTAGTGGATATACATCACATAATGCAAGAATAGCTCTATTTAAGGGAATGATCTACAGTAGGAGACACTGAAATTTGCTTATGTAATAAAGGACATTCTCTTGCAAATATAAATGTTTTCCCTCAAATTTAAATACTCTAAATGCATTTTATTTCAAATGTTCTATCAAAATCTTCCCTCATTTAACTTATGGCTGACTTAACGATAATTTTAAAGGTTAAATGTTTAAAAGTTGTAATAATTTATGATTACTTGCAAAGCACAATTTTCAAGTTGTTAAATTGTGTCAACCTACTCACACACTTGCAATTAACCTTCAATTAGGACATCAATCAATAGCTGAGAGCCTACTTTGTGCAGAAGACTGTCAACCAAATTTGATTATGCGTAATTAAGCAATGTGATTAAAAAAAGAAAAAGGATAATTATGAAGGTGGAAAACTTGGGGAAAAGCCATTTCAACCCATGCAATGGCAATATTCCAGTAGAATACCTGAATTATTGTAGTTTAATTTTAAGTGACTTAACCTCGTTATTCTTGAATAAAGACAAGAGTGAGCAAAGGTTAGCTTAAGGTTCAAAATGAAATGACTGACGTGAAGAGAGGAAGTAAACAATTGATAAAAGCAGAGGCATTTAAATTACTGTGGAATAAGAATTTGGCTTATACTTTTTCCTAATGCTATTAATATTTATATTAAATAAATGCTTTTAGACCAAAAGATATAAAATACTAAATTGGTTTATCTAAAGATAGGCTTGAAAAAGCAACAGTATGTAATTGGGGATATTTTTGATACTTCCTAAATTTAAATATTTTGTCCTTTAATTTTCCCTCTTTTAATATCTTCTGTCTTCCTGGCTTCTCTCTTCATTCTTTTTTCAGTAATGTTTATAATATATTGAATCATGTATTGGACTACAGTAAAGTTGCCATCAGAAATTACTAAATAAAAATATTTTAACTAAAATTTTGCCTCTAAAAGCAGAGTTTTAGTACACATATAAGCATATATTCATTTTACAAGATCATGATTTCCAAAATTTTATCACAAAAAATAAAAAATTTCAAACATACAATGAAGTTGGCAAATGTTTACAGTAAACCACACACCCACCTATTATATTGTTTAAACTAAAACTGACCACTTGGACATCATGCCCTGTAGTAAGTAATATTTCTAAAGATGAGCACAATGTCACATATTTGTATAAATACAGAATTTGTGGTCATATTCTATGGGAAAAAAGTCTGGGAAAGAGCACAGCTATTAAAGTCAGATTTTAGCCTTCATGCTTAGAAGCTGGGTTGACCATAGGCAAGTTACTTAACCTTCCTATGCTTTAGTTTCTACAAAATGATACAAAAAGATGACCTCCCTCAGAAGGCTGTTTTGAGAATAAATGAGATAATACATACTGTTCCCAGAACAACCGTGACTCGAGAATACATGAGATAATACATACTGTTCTCAGAACAACCGTGACTCGCAGAGTAAGCATTCAATAAATATTGACTTTATAAAATATTTTGACTTTTTTCCCCCTGGAACATAATTAGACTTGAGCAGTTACTTATTATAAACAGTATCACCTTTTTTAGTCTTAAAATAACTTTCAGGGGACACAGTATGTTTCTGGGTATTGAGTTCTTATCTCCGCTCTGCCATTACCTCTTACACAACCTAATATTTTGGTTCTCCATTTCCTTACCTATGAAGTGAAGAATTATTTAAATAATCTAGGTCAATATTCTGGTAATCTAAGGTAGAGATGATTGACTTCTTTTGGGGGGGAAGGGCCGCAAAACTAAAAATTTGGGGCTTTGTGGATCGAGAGGCAAAACTGATGCTATTAGGCAGGTATTTATACAACCATTTACTATATAATCATTAAAAAAATGTCAAAACTATTTATTATTATTATTATATATTAGCTTGTGGGCCATACAAAAATGGGCAATGCTGGATTTGGCCCGTGGGCCATCGTTTGCCAATCCCCAACCAGGAAGAAAACAGGAGATGTAGCTATTACTTGCTGGCGCAAGCATCATTCTTACTAAAGTAATTAGGATTCGCCCGTATTTGTCTATAGCGTCACATACCTGGTTTTCCAAATCAGCCTTCTTCTGCTTATTCAGCTCAAGGGTATCCTGAAGCTTGGCCAGCTTGTCCTGAACTTCGCGCAGGGCGGCCTGCTTCTTACGAAGACCATCCATAGCAATTTTAAGCTCCCCTTCGGCAGCAGCCAGTTTTATCTTTTTAGGAGCTACTATTTTTGCCACTCTGCAAAAAGTAAAATCAGAAAATTAGAGATATCTTGTATACTGTAGTACACTTTCTACACTGAATTTGTTTTTCTATGCTTACTATAACTCAAAACGCATCTTGAGGCAAAACCTATGCTGGTTTCCATATTCCGTATTTCATCGAGCTATCACACCTGACCCCAGCACATAAATGATTCAAATAGATATCAAATATGAATAACATTTTCAAATAAGTAATTTTTTTACCTAATATAAAGTATTAGATTATTGACAGTATGAATATTGGTGGTTTTCAAAAGGAAAATAATCTATTCATGTAAAATATTGCAGCGTTTATGAAAACTAGTCTATTTCATTAAAGCGTAATTCTTAGGAGGTGAGGTGTTTCATCTATGTCATTTTGCTTTTTAAAAATTTTCAGAATACATCTTTAATTAAAACCAGCCATCTCATAAATATGTATGTCGGTAATAGAAGGGACTATATAAGAAAAAGAATGGATCTAAATTATCTTCTATCTGGAAAACAGGGTCAGTGATATTAGCTTTCTAAACAAATGATAAAATATTAAATTAAAATTTATCATTAACACATCATGGTCCAAAACATAGACAGTGCATAACTATATATACAATGATTCAAATTGTGTGTGAATTTGAAAGACATCCTGTAATAGTCGCTTTTTGAAGAACAACCAGTAATTTTTGCTGTTTTGTACACAATATAAGTGGTTCTCATACAATCACCAGAAAAGACTCCTTGTCTTACAAAGAATATATATTATACTGGTGGTTTTCAAAATGTGGTCCAAGACATGCTTCATCCCCTTCGGGGAGTCCATAACATCTTCTCTTGTCTAACTAAACATCTGTGTGAGGCTGTATTTTCTTCATATATTTCAACTGAAACAACATATTGCAAAAGATTGAATGAAGATGCAGATTTGAGAGTCCAGCTATCTTCTACTGGCCACATATTGAAGAGATTTGCAAAAATATAAAACACCACTACTGTTTTCCTAATTTTTTTTGTGAAAAACGTGAATTAAAAAAATCAGTTATTTATGTAACATGTAATGTCTTTATGAATTAATACTGTTTTAAAATTTCTCTATTTCAACTTCTAATATGGTAGATAAACAAGTTTTTCATGGGATGCCTAGATGGCTCAGTCAGTTAAGCGTCTGCTTCAGCTCAGGTCATGATCTCAGGGTCCTGGGATCGAGTCCCACATCAGGCTCCTCGAGCTCAGTGGGGAGCCTGCTGCTCCCCCTGTTTGTGTTCTCTCTCTCTGACAAATAAATAAAATCTTTAATAAAAAAAAATGTTTTTTGCGCCTTCAAGAATTTTTAAGAGTATAAAGGGTTCCTGAGTCCAAAAAATGTTTAAGCATCACTGTATTATACTAAATAATTGTTATGGTCTTGCCTCTAGGAAATATGTACACACATAGCAGATACTAGACATGATTTTCCAGGAGCCTCTCACCTGTATAGCTTTTAAGTTTTATAGTGTCTAAATGACCAAACAGGAAAATAAAACACAGGGTTGTGTTGTTGTTGTTGTTGTTGTTGTTAGTACTTACTTATCATACGAATCCATTGCTATGACCCATTTGCACAGACCTTCGGCTGCAGTGGAAGCATTTCTAATCTTTTCTGGAACAAAATCTGGATTTGGAATATAATTTTTTCTTATGATACTCATATATGCTGCAGGAATGTTGTCCTTGTCATATTCATGAAGTGACTGTAGAAATCGAATGTCACCAAGAAGTCTCTTAGCTGGACCCCAGAAATCTTCTATTTTTTTTCCTGAACCTGTTGGGTCAGGGATTTTGTCAGCTTTGATGCCTTTCAAGATGCATATAGCTTCCATAACAAGCTTGACACCAGCAGGAGGACTCTTCATGGATTTTACCACTGTAATGTCCTTGAAATAACAACATGCTAATTATTAAAAAAAGAACTGTTTATGCGTTACTTGTAACTGGCTCTTATTTTCAAACTAAATAATAAGATAGTCACTCTGTTCATTGGGTAGAAATGGTAACAGTGATAGAATTCTGTCAAAAAAGCATTGAGAAGTTTGTCCAAAAGGGAAAGTTAGAAACAAAAAAGAATAATGGAAATATACCCTAATGTGAGATTACTTATGACATAGAGTCTACTTCAAAAACACATAAGAGAAATTTGGCTGTTGCAAAATAAGAGTGTTGTAGCTTCTTGAAAATTATGGAAGTAATAGATGCAAACATTAGAAAAATACAGAGAAATTATACATACTAAGATCTCCTATAATCCCATAATATCTAGTTAACTACTGCAAATGTTTTTTATTTATACTTCTTCTATATATTTTTCTATGTATATATGCTATAAACTAGTGAATATGCTACACTTTGACCAATGGAATTATAGTCTACATAACATACATGCTGTTTTAAAACTTTTCGTATTTCAATAGTAAGATATAATGAACATCCTTACACGCTATGAAACACCTACATCATTTTAATGGCTGCATGACCTTCTCCTGTATAGACATGAGCCATAATTCTCATGCCCTATCTATATTTTTCCTCTATTTTTTTTTTACTATTACAATTGCCATGTTGAATTAAGAACTTCGAATCCTTTATTTTTAAAGCTTTTGACACCTCTTGACAATCTACTCTCCAGAAAGTATCTAAGGGTTCCTGTTTTACTACATATACCCTCAGCAGCAAGGGTAAGCATTCTGATAAGCCCAAGAAATCCTTTATTAATCTGTTTTTTTAAAAATACAAGTGAGGTAGGATACATTTTCATATGTTTATTGACTATTTGTATTTCCTCTTTTGTGAATTACTTCTTTGTATCATTTACTATCTTATCTTACAGCTATTTTTGTCTTATTGATTTGTAAGAGCTTTTTACATAAAGGCATATTAATCTTTTGTTTGCCATCTAGGTCAAATATTTCCCCCGAGTGTTTCTACACTTCTGCCTGTGATGTTTATATCCAACAAAATGTGTTGGTTTTAGGTATTAAAATTTATAACTTAAAAAAAAAACTAATTATCAGTTATGAAAAAAAAGAAGAGTATCCAGAGCATATATATTACAGTTTTGCTTAGCTTTTTTTTCTGATTTCTCTCACATCTAAGAAATCCAAGGTCCCGATCCACTCCAAGATATAAACAGGATCTGCATTTTCTACTATTTTATAGTAGTGTAATTATTTATATTTAAATTTTAATCACTCTGAAGTCTATATTGGAGTAGGTGTGAAGAAAGAACTTAATAGTCTCTCCTCACCCAAAAGTTTAGCACAATTCTCAACACTATGTTTAAAAATTCACCTTTATCTTCCTTAATTGAACTATTCCCCTCTGATGTCTAAATTTTTAATACCACATTTCATCCAATCTAAGACATGCTATTATAAAGTATAACATTGTAGGCCATATTATTATCACAAAAATTTTAAAAAACCCAACACTAACAAACATTAACGCGATATGTTATCACATCCACTGTAAGGTGTATGCCAATTACGAAAGTGTCTAAATATGAAAAAGGTGCACCTTAGAAATAAAATACACACTTAGGTCTTATGCCTCTGTCCACCATTGTACTGCAAAGTTGTTGTGCAAAGTTCCTGAAATAACAGAGGTTTTAGGGTAGGTTCTAAAATTCGGCAGCTTCCTCCTTTTCCAAAATTCTTAGTCATGCACATGCACTTCTTTTTTCAGGTCAATTAGGAAATTCTTTTGCTAATTTGAAAATGATTTCGAATGCATTAAATGTGGAGACTAATTTGGAGAGACAGACTTGATCGTAGCCCCCAGTGGTGAACACTTTCTTGAGCTGCCAGGCTGTGTGTCCCAGCAAGGGTGTGGCTGTGCTCTCACCTGCGCAGTGAGAATATCCAGGGCAGACAGGGCTGACTCCAAGATGGGCAGGGCCTCTGCCAGGTCCGCGTCACATTCGTCTTTGATGGCTTTGGCGGCCATAGCTTGTTCATTTGCTATTGTTTCATCAGCTTTCACTACTTTTTCAGTTTTGGCAACTTCTACAGACTCCCTCTCAATGATTGCCATCATTTCATCCACCTCTTTGCTAGCAACTTTTAACTGAGGATGTAGCGCCTCCAACTCAATTTGCATTGTGGCTACTTGAGATGCGGCAGAATCCAGTTTGTCCAAACCCACTTCATACCTCTTTTTCATTTTCACGACTTCACTGGAAGCAAATACATAAAATGAGGTTAGGCATCAGGTTCTATACCCTTCAAGGAAAAATGGAAATATTCTTGAGCTTTTCAGGCTTTTTCCAGGCATAACTAAAGGAGTGGTATGAAAGATTTTCACATAACAGTTTGCCAAAAATTATTAACTTTAGAACACTGGGTTATAAACAATTAAGAGCCAAAAGTATGCCTTGTTTGTTTTTGTATTTCCAGAGCCTAGCACAATATCCAGGCATATAACAGAATTTCAAAAGTTATTTTTAAATTTATTATATACTAGGTATAGGCAAGGAGTGCTCTTTATCAAAATGAATGGTGGACCCCTAAAATTAGTCTCTTTGGGAAATTCATTCCTACAACACTACGGTTCCTTAAAACCTTTTTATAATCACATCTTTAAAACAAACTTCAGTGCCCAAAATATATTATTTTGAATGTTGCCAAAAGTGGCAAATGATTTTAGGAAGTATTCAATATCTTGAAATAATTTTTTATTAAGACAAAAATGACAAATAGGATAATAATAAAACTCAATATTTTTTGTGTGCCGGATGATTACAAAGTAATAATAATTGATTAGGAAGATAATATCTTAATGTGTTTTAAACATTTTATCTGCATTCATATATGTTCTCTGGATAATTATACATTATATGTAGAGAAAACTCTATAATTCATTTCATTTAAAATATTTGATACACCATAATGTTTTAAAGTAAGAGGTGACACATTTTAGAAATCATCTTCAAAAAGGAGGTTGGAGTAGGTAAAAAACCGGCCGGAAAACTGTCTAAAGGCAGAAGCATACCCTTCAGCTGAGGGCTTAACTGGCTCAAACTGGAATAGGTAACTGGGAAAACATTAAAAAGACTGCCACAGGAAAAAAAAAAAAAAACACAACCTTTAGAAGTGAGGGTATGCTATGTTTTGTCACACATTGATTCCCTCTGAGTCAGCAAAATGCTTGACTTAATGGGGGGACTAGATACATGATACCATATTATCTGTGAATTTGGTTTTAGCCAAAATTTTGTTGAATAAGAACAGAAACAAGAACAGGAAAGCTTCCATATTGTGGTTCATCCCATGTAATGATTTGCTAGCTAAACTACTTGGTGTCCTAGCAGGTGACCTGCTAACTTGCTTCTAGGGTACCAGAGTACCTGGCTATAAAGAGATCTGAAGGCTTTAGCTATTAAGGGAAGAGTAACCACAGGATGGGGATCCTAGTTGAGGTAAAGGAGAATTTTTTTTAAAAGATTTTTAAATTTATTTTTTATTAGAGAGAGAGGCGGGATGGAGCAGAGGGAGAGAATCCCAAGCGGACTCCCAGCTGAGCACAGAATCCTATGCGGGTCTTGATCCCATGACCCCGAAATCATGACCTGAGCTGAAACCAAGAGTTGGACACTTAACCAACTGAGCCACCCAGGTGCCCCATAAAGGAGAATTTTTTTTTAAAAAGAGGAAGATTTGAAAGGAAGATAAGAATACCTAAAAATGCCTAGAAAACTATTACTTTCAATCTTCCTATAATGTTGTACTTCATTTTCATAATATTTCTTTCAGTTAGGATGGCCTTAAACATTTTGAGTGTACAGAGACATAAGTGATATCTAAAATTATTAAGAACCTCCAAAAAGTTTTAATATCCTTAGATGGGAAAATATGGGGGAAAAAAAAGACAACATTCCATTAAGTTAAAGATCATAAGATCTACATGGAAAGATAATTATTTTAACAGCCAAAGCAATTATAAAATTCAGTCAAGTAATGTAGCTACCTTGGGTAGGGGTTGCAGATTTCACTAGGTAGATGCAAAAAGTAGTAATGATATGACTTAAACACAGGAGTATGGATCATGGTACCTAGGAAAGCTCTGATGCCCCAGCTGCAGAAGGTATTACAATAGTCACTGTAAATATGGATGAGGAGTGTCCTACCAGGATATAGGTAGCATCCTGGACAATACGGGAAAGGATGCTTCAAAATGCTTGATATAGTGGGTTAGCACAGGAAGATTTAGAATTAAATATAGTTAATATGCAAACATTAAACTTTGCATCAATATTTTTTGTCATGAAATCTGTGAATGTTGGTGTTTTAAGTATATATTTTAAATATTTAAAAGAATTCAGTCTGTTAGATTCACAGATCAACCTTACAGTCCAATATAAATTATGTAATTGAGCAAGAGCTAGATTTCTGTTTTAAAGTAAAAATAGCTCACAAAGTTTATAGGTAATATTAAACATTTAAAAGAACTTAAGGCTCACCCTCTGTATTAGTTTAACTTACTAATTTTTTAAAATTATTTAAGTACATAGGAAAGTTTGATTTGTTAAATCAGACCTCAAAAGGGAAATAAAAACCTTTAAAAAATTATAAATGCAATGAAAAAAATTATAAATGCAAAGTAAAAAATTTGTTTAAATAACTTCTTGAATGTGACCAAACATTAGCTGAAGAACCCCTTAAAAGGTAGATCATTAACATTTTTAAATATCTAATTTTATAGCTTAATATAATGTTTTTACATTTTATAACACATTGGGTATTTTTTAGAACCAAAGAAGCTTTTGAATAAACTTTTTTTGCATCTAAAAGTCACCCTCAGCAGACTGAAAGAAGTTAAGATGGTAGAGTAGTAGGAAACCCTAGGCTTGCCTCCTCCCTGGAACACAGCTAGATAAGAATCAAATCATTCTGAATACCCAAGAAATCAATCTGAGGACTGACAGAACAAAATGCACAACTAGAGGGAGAGAAGAGGCCACTGCACATTGTGGAAGGTAAGAGGTGTGGAGACGTGACTTAGGGGAGAAACGGATCATGGGTGCTGTAGAGGGGAGGGAGCCCTGGTCACAGAGAGAGGAGGGGGAGAGAGAGAGAAAGAGAAGTGCACAGGGGATTGCACAGGGAAAACAATTCCCCAAAGCCATTGACTAGGAAAATGAAAGGGGCTGACTTTCATGAGTTTTTACAACCAGTGGAGTTCAAAGGCTGGAGTTTTAGAGGCCGGAGCTGTTGCTGGTTGGAGCCCTGAGGGCGCTGCAGTTCTCCTGTGTAGGATGGCAGATATCCCAGGGGCAGATGGCACAATCTGAGGATCCCCCAGGGATGCATTGGGAGAGACAGTTCCCTTTTCTTGGAACACATCTGGGAGAGGTGACATTGCCTCTCCAGGGACAAAAGAGTCAGTGGATGCCACTTCCCCCCCTCCCCCCTAGCATAAACTAACTTCAGAAGCAGCACAGCACCAACACTGGCAGCCTAAACGGCTTACACTAAGCCCATCCCCTTAACTCTGTTGGTGCACACTTGCCTGAGAACCAGTGCAGTGGGCCCCTTCCTTCAAAGACCAGTGCAAATCCCCCACATGCACCATGACTACTGACCACAGAGTCCTGAAAAGTTTCAGCTCTAGTGGAAAGAGCATCAGGTCTCTTTTAACAAGCAGACCAGAGTACACCTAGTTAAAACTCACCACACTTTGGTCAAGGTCCGAACACTCCCCATTGCAGGCAAGGAGAAACTCCATAGAGGACTGACCTGAGGGAAAGAGCAGCCAAAACAACAGCAGCAGACTGCACACAACATACACTAGAAACACTTTCTGATGCACCAGGCCCTGGAGAGTGTATGACCTCTTCTTTATAGAGCCATTACTCTCAGAAGCAGGAAACATAGCAGGCTTTCCTAACACAGAGAAGAAGACAGACTCCTAGACAAAATGCCAAGATGGAGGAACTCATTCCAAAAGAAAGAACAAGAAAAGGTCATGGCCAGGGGTCTAATCAAAACAGAAATAAGTAATATGCCTGATCCAGAATTTAAAACAACAATCATAAGGATACTAGCTGGGCTTGATAAAAGCATAGAAGACACCAGGGAGTCCCTTACCACAGAGATAAAAGATCTAAAAACTAGTCAGACCTAAATGAAAAATGCAATAACCAAGATTTAAAACCAACTGGATGTAATGACCATGAGAATGGAAGAAGCAGAGGAACAAATAAATGATACAGAAGATAAAATTGTGGAAAATAATGAAGCTGAAAAGAAGAGAAAAAGAAAAGTATTAAATCACAAATGTAGACATAGGGAATTCAGTGACTCCATAAAGCATAATAAAATTTATATCATAGGAGTCCCAGAAGAAGAGAGGGGATGTTTATTTGAGGAAATTATAGCTAAAAACTTCCCTAACTGGGGGAAGGAAACAAACATCCAAATCCAGGAGGCACACAGAATTCCCATCAAAATCAACAAAATCCTGCCAACACCAAAACATCAGAGTTAAATAAAGAAAAAAATCCTAAAAACAGCAAGACAAAAGAAGTCCTTAACTTCAAAGGGAAAACAAATAAGATTAGCAGCAGATCTATCCACAGAAACTTGGCAGGCAAGAAGAGAGTGGTATGGTATACTCAACGTGCTGAATGGGAAAATATGCAGCCAAGAATATTCTACTCAGCAAGGCTATCATTCAGAATACAAGGAGAGATAAAGAGTTTCCCAGACAAACAAAAACTAAAGGAGTTCATGATCACTGAAGCAGTCCTGCAAGAAATACTAAAGGAGACTCTTTCAGTGAGAAAGAAAGACCAAAAGTGACAAAGACTAGAAAGGAACAGAGAAAATCTCCAGAAACAATGACAAAACAAGTAATAAAATGGCATTAATTCATATCTATCAATAATCACTCCAGATATAAATGGACTAAATGCTCCAATCAAAAGACATAAGGTGTCAGGATGGATTAAAAAAAAGACCCATCTATATGCTGTCTACAAGAGACTCACTTTAGGAGAGAGGGAAGATGGTGGAAAAGTAGGGGACCCTCGTTTCATCTGGTCCCTTGAATTCAGCTAGATATCTATCAAATCATTCTGAACACCTGTGAATTCAACCTGAGGTCTAAGAAAAGAACTGCTGCAATTAAACAAATAGAAAATTGACCACTTTTTGCAAGCTGTGCAAAAAGTCTTCA